GAGCTAAAACACCAGAGAATATTGGACCAAATATTGGACCAAACAGAGCTAAAACACCAGAGAATATTGGACCAAATATTGGACCAAACTGAGCTAAAACACCAACGAATAATGGACCAAGTATTGGACCAAACTGAGCTAAAACACCAGAGAATATTGGACCAAATATTAGACCAAACAGAGCTAAAACACCAGAGAATATTGGACCAAATATTGGACCACACTGAGCTTTATAACCAGAGAATATTGGACCAAACCAAACATCTCTTTTTAGGCAGTATCAGGTTTCTATTTGGTCCACACCACTGTTCTGTGGACAGCCTTCATACAACCCTCAATTAACTGACCCAAACAAACAAATGCATCAGAGTTAGCTTGAGGGAGAACACAGCCTTACTGTTGAACAGGTATTTTAGAGTGTTTGAGAATTTCCTTCAAGAAAAGAGACACAGAAAATGAAGATGTTGATGCTGTGGAGGCACATTAGGAGAAGGAAATGTCAAGGTGAATAACAGAGAGGTCCATTCAGTCTGAATATCAGCTATGATCTAAAGTCAGACTGATGGAAACATGAATAATGAAAACATAAAGGTGAATCTTTTCTGCTGCTTTGACTCTCAGAGACAAAGGGAAAATCCCAACATTGAATTTTAGTCTTTGTGTTTCTGTGAAGGTGTGAGGAAGGGTCGTCAGGTTGTTTCACAGACTGATGTCAGAGTTTCACTTCTGTTCTGTCAGTTTTATTCTTAAGCTCTGCTGCCATCTCATTGGCTGCTGCAGGATGAGCCAGGTTTAAAATGCCACCGGCGTGTTCACACCTGATTAACAACACAAACTTCACCTCAGCAACGACAAGCCCGACATAATCGCCGTCATTTTCTATCAGCTCTCCATCCTGAGCTTACAACTTCCCCTCTTTAACTGCTTTCTGCTGCTGCCTGCAGAACGCGCTGCTGCTCGCCGCTCGACGTGATAAGAGGCTTAACGCCGGCGTCGAGTTTACAGGAAGAGTCTCGCAGCGCTGACAGGGCGTCTCTGCAGGGGAGCTTTCATCAGGAGAGCACGGAGATATGCGTGGACTCAGCCGGCACTTCCTGTGTGACGTCTGGGGTTCACAGAGCACTCTCAGTCTGAAGATTCACTAACGACTCAATATTTATATTTGAGATCAAACCAGCCATTTATCTTCTACCTTGATATGATTCTGGTAACCAAACTCAGGGTATCGATGCAACACCAGCGCTCCGTTTTCACTACAGCTGCTAAAATGTCAGTCCTCGTTCTCTGAGCTGTCCTGCTTTATCAGACTAAATGATAAAATGTACTTCCTTCATGCAATGGGTCTAAACTACAGAGCCCTCAAAGGGTCATGGAGAATTTTTTTTCTGAACATTTTTTTGTTCTCTCGCAGTGACAGTATCAAAATTCAGTACTGTGAGACAAAATTCAGCTCTAAGTAATGCATGAGGCGAATAATAATAAATGTTTTCCCCTTGAGGTTTACCATAGCTCAGGACTACAAACTCATATACTTGACTGCTCCTGACAACAGCTCTTGTACAGACTCGCTGCCCCCCCACACTAGAAGCTGAACTGCAGCCTGCACCATGAAAGTTAGTGAACAGACCACCTAGAGAAGGGATATTTAACTTGTATATTTCGTTTATAACCCCCTGCCACCGGGGCAATGTTGCAGGATCAACTTGCAACCATTTGCGAGTTATGTCTTTCCTGCTACTTGCCAAAAGTACCTTTAATTATATTTCTCTTTGTGTGGGACAGTTTCAGATATTTTTCTGAGGTATAATGTAGCAAATGAGTAGACTTATGCCGGGTTCACACTACATGACATTTTGTCTGTGCCGACAGTCACTATGTCACATTAGGCGATTGTTGAGTCATAAAATCGTGCCTCGACTTGGCTAACAGACATGACAGACTACATGATGGTCCACACCAATCACCCCCGGTCGTCTTTCACGATGTGTGTGATGTCATCTGGTTATTCTTGTCCTTTTTTTATTATTATTACTATTATTTCAGCCACTGTGTCTGTTCAGGGGACAAACACCTTTGTATAACTCTATGGGTGAGTAACTACACTAGAAGCTCAGAGAAGCATGTAAGACTGTGACTCTGATTCCTGGTCTCAACTCTGGGTTGTCAGGGTTTTGAATTACTGATGAACTTGGACAGGTTCCTAGATATGAGAGCAGCTCCATCCAAAGTGGGATGAATGCCGTCTCTCCTAATCAGACCAGGTTTTCCCCAGAAATTTTGCCAATTATTTACGAGGCCCACATCATTTGCTGGACACCACCTGGACAGCCAGCGATTAAATGATGACATGCAGCAAAACATCTCATCAGTGGTCAGATTTGGGAGGGGTCCAGAGAAAACTATGGAGTCAACATAGTTTTTGCAAATGAACACACCAACGCGACATTAATTTTAGTAACCTCCGATTGGTGTAACCGAGTGTCATTACCGACAACGTGAATAACAATCTTACTGAATCTATGTTTAGCCTTAGTAAGCAGTTTTAGATTTGACTCAGTGTCGCCCGCTCTGGCCCCAGGGATAGGTTTGAATATGGTCGCTGGTGTTGCTAACTTCACATCTCTCAGAATAGAGCTGCCAATGACCAGAGTTTTCTCCTCAGCGGGTGTGTCGCTGAGTGGGGAGAAACAGTTAGAAATGTGAACAGGCTGCTGGTGAACCGCTGTCTTCAGCTTAGTACCAAGCTTCTCTCGGACAGTTACCCAACCTCCCGGCCGGCGACAGACAAACGGGAGCAGATCAAAAGTAAAAATATAAAAATAAATCTTTGTCGTTCATGATCCGAGCTTACACTGTACGACGCTGCGTGGGGCTAAAATCGGGCTGATATCTTGTACTGTGAACCCAACATAAATCCATTCCAATTATGTTATGAATCTCAGCTGACCAGTATGGTTGTATTTTTGGGCCCAGAAAACATGATACTGATTGGACAGTGAGTTTCTGCATTGTCTCCAGCAGAAGTCCCACCTCTGTAGGCCTGTTCACAATGCTGTTAGTCATGATAAAGAATCTCACAAGCATCTTTAGCATCTCAAAAATGTGATTTGTGTGGAGGAAGAAGAAGAAGAGGAAGCATTCCTTACATTTCAGTAGAGTCGTCGCACTGTTTGGTGCCCAGACTCTAATTAAAAACTAAATGTTGACTAAAGGAAATAAAGCAATGTAAAAAATGAGGATGTGAAGAAATGTTTGAGGATTCACAGTTTATGAAATGAAACGTGAAGAAACATCTCGGTAAGGTCCTTTGAGTAATGCAGAGAGGTGTCAGAGGTGCGAAGAGAACAGATAAATAAAAAGTTCCAACACACAGACGTCTGTTGTGTTTTAGCCTCGCAGACCTGAAGTGTTCAGAGGAAGTCAGGTACTAAAGGCAGGAAGTTTTTTTCATCTTCCCGCAGACACTAACGTGTTTGTTGTCACTTCAGATGTATGAGAGGATGTGAAGGTTTCCTGAAGCTCTGCACATTATTATTTATGACACATTAGAAAAAACACAAGAACTCCCCCGAGGAGGCTCTGCTTCAGTCTGCCAGCACGCAGGATTTAAAGATGAAGATAAACACTAATTAATCATCATGTTCTCGTCTGAACGCAGCTCAGAGTCCCAGCAGACCTCAGGCCTGTTAACACAGCTCATCAGCAGCTGTACTGGGTTCACTGGGAGACTGGAGGAATAAACCTCACCAACAGATACACTGGGTTCACTGGGAAACTCATACTGGGAGACTGGAGGAGGAAACCTCATCATCAGTTATACTGAGTTCACTGGGAGACTATAAACCTCATCAACAACTACACTGGGTTCACTGGGAGACCCGCTGACCTGTTCACACACTCCGGTCTTAAACAGCATCCCATCATGCACCAGTCAAGACTCACCTGTAACCAGGAAGGTGCAGCGCCCCGCCCCGGCCTCATTGGTGATGTCACAGGTGTACTCGCCGTAGCCCTCCCTGTTCAAAGCTCTAACCAGGTAGCTGGTGTCATCACGCTGGTCGCTGAACTGTCCGACCGTGAGGAGGCGGGAGCCGAGCTTCCACTCGTACCGCAGGAGGCGCGCCGGGTGAGCTCGCAGCAGGCGGCAGGTGAGGCTGAACGCCCGGCCGAGAGCCTGACGGATCTCTGTGTACACCGGCTCCACGACGGGGGGGACTGTTGGAGACGGAGAGACAGGAAATATGAGACGATACGGCAGGAAAGACAAATCCCCAAATCCTAAAAACAACAGACCTTCTTCATAAAAGTAATCTGGTTATCAAATCTAAACATTTAAAATTAATTTATTTATATACTTTGTTTGCAGAAACTGTTCAACAGCTGCACTTTATTTTCACCAGCTACTGGATCCAAACACTGGAGGCTGTGTTTGACATCTGAGAAGCTGACCAGATTAAATTATTGATCTGGATGAGACTCCTGAGACTGATGTGATCACCTGTGAAAACACAAACTGTGATCACAGAGTGATGCTCCCTGTTTGTGTCTCTAAAAGACAATGTTTGGAGTGCAGATGAGCTTTACAAAAATTACATTAACGAGATGAGTTTCATTTTGGCTTTTCATCAAGTTACTGATGGAATATTTTTAGTTAATTAGCTACAGCTGATATAATCTGTGATGCGAGTCGTCACCTGGATGTTTTCTACATTTGCTAATAAGACAGACTGAGGGGATAAAAAATGTCTCTTGAAGCTCAGTGAATTAGAGGCTTTAAGTTACCTGAAACTGGCTCCATAAAGAGCTCAACTATAAGCACCCTTCAGAATATTTCCATTTAATCAGATAGAGCTTTAAAGAGCTGCAAGAGCATGATACTCAGTGGATCTGCCCCCACACACTGAGGAGTGATGACAGTTGACAATGCTTCAAATATGAATGCTGCTGCAAAGAGACTAGAAATTCTAAAACATGGATGCTTCACACGCACAATATCTACACTATCAGCACAGTTTCAGATGAGTGTCACCAATTCAGTATCTGACCAAATGTCTCCCCTTCTGTTCCTGAGATATGACGTTAAGTAATGGTCAGAAAACATTATGAAGTTGACCTTTGACCTTTTAGATATAAAATGTCATCATTTTATTGTGTTAGACATTTGTGTGAAGATTTGTCAAAAATAATTTCTGGAGGTCACAGTGACATTGATCACCAAATTCTAATCAGTTTATCTTTGAGACTAGGCGGACATTTGTACCAAATTTGAAGAAATTCCCTGGTCTTCTTGAGATTATCATGTTCACGAGATTAAGACAGATGCAATGTGACACTGACCTTGCTTTTTGGGCACCAAAATCTAATCATTTTGGATGTTTGTGCCAAATTTGATGAAATTCCCTCAAGGCTTTCTTGAGATATTGCATGGATGAGAATGAGATGGACCAAAGTCTAATCAGTCATCACTGAGTTCAAGTAAAAATTTGTGTCAAATTTGAGGAAATCCCTCTAGGTGTTCATGAGATATCATGTTCCCTTGACCTTTCTTGAGATATTTTGTTGATGAGAATGAACCAATGTAAGGTCACAGCCACCTTGACCTTTGACCACCAAAGTCTAATCAGGTCATCACTGAGTCCAAGTGGACATTTGTACCAAATGAAGAAATTCCCTCAAGGTTTTCTTGAGATGTCATGCTCACTAGAATAAGACAAATGCAACGTTACAATGACCTTGCTCTTTGGCCACCAGTATCTTATCAGTTCATCTTTGAGACTAAGTGAATGTTTGTGCCAAACTTGATGAAATTCCCTCTAGGCTTTCTTGAGATATGTTCATAAGAATAAGGATGCAATGTTACAATGACCTTGCTCACTGGCCACCAAAATTGAATTAAGTCATCTCTGAGACTAAGTGAATGTTTGTGCCAAACTTGATGAAATTTCCTTAAGGTGTTCCTGAGATATTGCATTAATGAGAATGAGACAAATACAATGTTACATTGACCTTGCTCTTCGGCCAAATTTGACAAAATTCCTTCAAGGCTTTTTTGAGATATCATGTTGATGAGAATAAGGTGGATGCAAGGTTTCAGCAACCTTGACCTTTGACAACCAAAAACTAATCGGGCCAGAGAATGAGATGAACAACCAGGTAACATAATGCCAGCAGCCACAGCAATCATCAGCACAGAGACATAAAAATCCAAACAGACCCTTTTTTGTAAAATCAGGTGTATTTTCAATAATATTATATCAATAACTACCCTATAAACTTTGGGGATTTTACATATTATGTATGTGTATATTATCGATATTTAAATCATTAAATCAAATACTTCCTTTAACCTTCTCTTTTCAGGACAAAAACACAACATATTTTCTGCTTTTTAATCAATAAAAATACATTTCTGTGATGTTTGTTTTTACTTTAGGTTGTATCTTGTTATGTCTGATCCTGGAGGGACCTGATCTCTCCACAGAGATCAATAAAGTCTAATCAAATCTAATCTGTTAATCTGATCTGAAGTTGCATCTTGGCTCCATGCTCAGTGTGTAAATGAGGCTGTTTGGAGATTTTCAGGCCATCTGGGAAATTATCATCTGGTATCTACAACACAAACAAACACACACACATGCAAACACACATGTTGGTTTCAGTATACTTATGAGGACACTGTCATAAAGGATGACTGTGAGCTCGAGCCTCACGAGTTTAATGTTTATGTTATATTTATTTAACTCTTTTGTTTTAACTTTGAGCATCTTTGGATCGAAACCTCTGGACCTGCATATTCATACAAACCCAAAGACAAAAGAAAAACTGTTCTTTCTTGAGTTTAAAATCCAAAGTTAATATTTAAAACTGTCTGAGGAAAATCAAATCATTAAGTTTTATCACTTTTTGTGTGTTTGAACAGACTTGTTGAACCTGACCTGACCTGAGAGTTCAGTTTAATACTGGCTGTATTAAACTGATAAAATAAATAATACGTCTGAATAAATCCAGACTGAGAGAGACTAAATTTAAGTGGCTGCTGCGTCTCATTTTCCTGCTGTCTCACTTCACTCTTTAATGAAGCCAAAATGCCTCTAAAATAACCTTAAACCTCTTAAGAGTTTAAAATATTTAAAGTCAGACGGGCGTTAACCTCTGTGTCGCAGCACTCTGCTAAAGGGCACAAAGGCAGAGTTGGATCTGTCTGTTTAAATCCCTCCAGCAGAACTTCCTCTGAGGATTTCAGCCACATTACAGGTGTCACTTCACAGATTAATGTCCTGCTGTCAAACACGGATCAACAGACGAGGGACCGGCAGCTGCAGGCGACCGTCCTCTGACCGCTCTGCAGCAGAGAGACAGTATGAACACTGCCTGGCTCCAGGGACGAGGCAGCAACAGCTCCGCATCTTTAATTCAGGCAGAGAGGTCAGAGCAGGACGACAGAATTTGAAACTGAACAAATCAGAAGCTAACGTGGAATCTGAGGTCGTTATCAAAAAAAATACCCCATCAGTTAGATTGGTTGTGTTTGTCTGGTGGACTCTTAACTTCCTGTGCACAGCTCTGCGGACGTGTCAGGTTAGTGATGGAAGGATTCTGATATTAGATCTGATCATGAGAACAAAACAAGTAAAGACAAACTTTCAAAAACATGTCTTAGATATTTTTGTGTGCCTACATAAGCCCCCGATCGCACAGAAAGTGTTTTAGGAGTTGGAGGCAACTTTTTGTAATTGTTTTTAATGAGAATGAAACTTTTTGCTTGCGGTTTTTGCAATGTGCCTGGCGTTTCCGCTGGAGCGTTCTGAACTCCTTGAGTTGAAAAATCTTTAACTCAGAGCAGAAAAATGCCTAAAGTCATCTCCGCCTTTTTCCCATTGCCCAATCGGATTATTTGAGAGGCGGGCCCTCTGTGATGGTGATGACAACAAGTTTACAGTTGGTAAACAATGGAGGAGAAACTGGTTTTAGTGGTTGCTGGATACCCAGAGCTATACGGCCTGATGATAGACAGCAGGTTGTCAAACTGCCCCTGAGTCATCCTAAAATCTGCCTGTAAACGTCCATGATGGAGGAGAAGCTCCTGGACCAACTGGTGGTACTCCCCATGATCCAGCCTCTTTTTTAGGGTCTCATGTACCCACACAGATCTCTGTTTATCTGCTGACAGCCTCTCACCCTCAACCAGTTCCAGCTCGTGCGGTTGGTTTGTGGTGAGAAGGTGTTCCGACCTGGATGTGAAGCAACTGCAGTCACATGACACACTGTTTGGATTAAACATGAGCATGTTACAGTCCTGGAGGATTATTAATGTGCACCTCCTCCTGTACTGCCTTAATATGCACATTCAGCACATCCAATGCATCAAAACATTGTTTTCTAGTTGGAGCCGCGCCTCGTTTTCAAACTGTATTTTTTGACTAAAATGAACAATGACAGCAATATAGTCCACGATGAGCAGCGCTAAAATCAACCTGCGTAGTTGTCCCTCCATTGTGACATTAGAAAGTGTCACATTTATCTTGCAAGTGTACTCTTCTTCAACGTTTGCTTTACTTCCTGGATTTTTCCCACATGGAAATTCTGACCAATCAAGAGCAGCTTTCTCACACAAGGCATTTGATCTGGTCCTCTTGTAAATGCTGCGAATCAACTCTAGGCAATTATACAACTTTGTGACAAAACACATTTGACTCATTGAAAAACAACCAGTGTTGTTGTTTGTTGGTTTTGAACGGTGGTTTGCAGCTTGGTACGCGTCTCTCCTTTGTAACACACCATCCCCTCAACCATTTGTTGACACAGTCAGCTCATATACAACATCACTTTAGAGACGTTAATATGACATGTACAAATGTAGAGCCTGATCTCACTCTGAAGTCATCAAACCCGGTGCTTGGGCAGTGACTTGCTGCTTCAGAAACCAACAGAAAAAGGCGTCCTTGAACGGTGACATGATTCACGGCTGGTTGCAGTTATAGTTCAACGGCGCCAGGCAGCTTCAGTGTGAAACGCAGCAGGACAAGGACGAAAGTTAAGGCAGGGGGCGGATGGGAGGTTTGGTGAATGGGTTCAACAAACACCGACTTTCACCCCAGAGAGCGGTGTTCACGTCCTGTAAGACTCTACAGCCAAATCCTGTTGTTTTTTCCTAAACCTAATGTCAACAACCAACACACCCAGGGTACCTTGGACATCGTATGTGGATGTGGAAA